TGCTTTTATGAAAAACCCCTCAAACACAACAGCAACAGTAAAATGAGAAATTAAAAGTATATTCCAGGAATGGTTCTTACAGTAAAACATGGTAATGCCTCATTGCACACATTAAAATCATCGTCATCACACAACAGTACAGCCACTTTCTGAATAATCTCAAAACCTGAATACACCCATAGACGGATAACCTGTCCCAGGTGTCCTCAACCTACAGCGCTTCAGGTGCCGGAGGCTCTTTGGAACTTCCACGATGACTCTTAATAGGAAAAAGGACCAATAAATGTTTTTAAATATAGATATAAAATCAAATGCAGTTTTTCTCATAGAATTGTTCTATTGAATTTCCACAATGACACTAAACGGACCAATAATATTTTCAGATCTGTTTTTCCTGTCATCAAGTTGGAAACTGTGTTTTTTTTACATAATTTTCCACAAATATCAACATCCTATAAAAGAAAACGTATCCATCCACTTTCTGCACACATTATATCTAAAATTTAAAAAAGATTATTAAATATGTATGCAATAAAACACTCCTTTATGTTCCATACCATGACTTACTGTCCATGGTTGCTAACTTAGTGATTATGTAGCTACTTTAGCTGTTTATCAGACCCTTAGACTACAGCCTACCAGACCTTGGGTATATATTGTTCAAATAATATATAACCGAAAATTATTAAGAATATTTTATGTTCACAGCTTGACATGGTTGGTTAAACTGTTGACGGCTGCAGCGGATCAGTTGGGTTGTGGAGCACCTTAGTGAAGTGGCCAGTGGATTTTCATTCTAAAATATCCTTTTAAAAAATATATTTTTTAGTTCAAATAGTTTTTAAACCTCATTTTATTTAATGTTTGAGTAGTTGGCCAGCTGTAGTCCCCGGTAGATCAATGGTACCTCAGCGATGAAGACAAGGTTGGTAGATTTTACCCTGAAGTTTGGACTTCTTTAAACGCAGCCCTGTGGAACACGTTGCTACTAGAATATAAACCAAACCACAGCCTGCATCTGTTCCAGCTTCAGATAGTTCAGAACCAACCTTCCTGTGGAGCGGGAAAGCACAACCGCTGGTTCCTGCAGCGTCCCCGTGGAGACACATCGGCTTTCACCCTGAGCTCATTTAAGCCTGAAGAGCTGCAGAGCCTCACAGGCTGAGAGCAAAGCGCCTGTGACATCCTGCAGGATGGCAGAGGAAGCATTCTATTTCAGAGCGCTCACTGATCCGACAGGCCTCGAACGCAGCAGGAGCCGGCACACAAATCCTGCTGCAGTCGGATTTAGACGAGGCACAAACACAAAGATGGGGTGTTTTATTCTCCAAGGACGGACTGCGGTGGAGTGTAGCTGTTATCTGGCTGGATGGCAGTTGCTGAGGATGGAAGGTCACACTTTACTTCAGGGGGGGTCATGCAAAGACATAGAAAAGAAAAATGCTTTATTCCACAGTGTCCCCACTGTGGAATAGTGGGGACACTGTGGAATAAAGCATTTTTCTTTTCTATGTCTTTGCATGCATCAGTCAAGACTGTCTTTTTAAAGCTCCTTCATGCAAGTCGCAGTATTTCTGTCTGTTAACACAGAATAATTATCATGTAAATGTCCAGGTGAGCTCTGTGAGACCTTACAGGCGTCAAAGTGCTGCGGACAAAATGCTGCTTCAATAGACACAAAAATCATTGAATGAATTAATATTAGGGTTACTTTCATGCCTATAAAATATTAACCCAAATTAGCATCACATTTAGCGCTCTAATCCTGCTAAACACGTGATGGATAAATAAATAAAATGAAATAAAAATATTAATGAGAAACAGTGCCCCCTTCTGCAGGACTGATGGTAAGAAACACAATAATCCATTAATGTGTGATTGCAAAAACTGATTTATTCCCCTGATTTTACCTGCGTTTCTGCCTTTCGTTCTTCACTATTTAACCAGTTCTTCTGTCAGACTCGCCACATGTTTTTAATCCTAAACATAAGTGCCATCTTGTTTAATATTCTCTTCTCCTGCAGGGTGTTTTATAAATTTACGTAATGTTTGCATGATTCCTGGATAACTACTCTGGAAGTGTGGCATTAAGCAAACAGACATCCGAACTAAGGCAAAATGCAAATAACGTCACGCTGCAGCTGCAGAAATCCAGGCGGTTCAGAGCACTGTCTCTCATCATGGGGTCACCAGATGGTTGCAGAGAAAGAAGAAAATCACCTATGAAACACGATGGCGTGTGTTCATATGTAACACCTGCTCTGCTCTAAATGAAGTACCTGCCATGATCAGCTGTTTCTGCTTGTGGAGCTCAAACACGGACAGATTCCTACAGATATAACAGAAAATAAATCCGTTTGTAAACATTCCTGCAAAAATCTTCCTGGAAATCACCTAACAATATCTCTTCCTTGTGTCAGTCTTATCCTGATGCTGCAACCTGCAGCTAATGTACACACCGTACCCCACCACATACAGTGAGCCCCTGAAGGCACCACACCCCTGGTCACTAATCTGCACGACCTGCCTGGACGATGTCAGGATGCTGCAATGTGCTAAAATATCACCGCCACCAGATCAATAAACCACCATGAGGTTGCTACAGACAGCCTTAAGGAAACTTTATCCTTCTGTGGGCTGTAATGAGGAGCCCCTAAAGAACATTTCCTGTTGTCCCTCACATGTCTTGGTACTCTAATGCAACGCTTTGATTGAGTGATATTTAAACAAATATATTCTTCCTTCTGTATTTTTTTTTTAATATTCTTTTGTTAAATCAAACACAGAAGGCATGTATTAACACATTTAAGGAGAAACATTCACCTTAAATCCACTTGTTCATGAAAACATTTTATATGACTCCAGCTTTTGACGAACATCTATGAAACAGAAACCATTCTGGTAAATTACAGCTTTCTTTGAATTTCATTTGAACTAGAACCAAGTCACTGTTCCCTAAACACACACAAATATAATTTCAACTTTGCTACGCCTCATACTTTCTAAACGTCCGCACAGTCAGCATTGTTCTCCTTTCTCCTTCCCAGCATTCACCATCACCTCTCAATGACGACGTTTTCAGTATATTTGGAGTTTAATGGTGACAAAGCAAAAATAAATCCAGAAAACTGTTTGAATGTTCCTTTACTGCTGTGATTTCTAGCATAGGTGTTGACCTGCATGAAGTAGGCTGCCAGATAGCTGAACAGAATAGAATATTGTATATGAAATGTATAACAGTAGTATGTCATTTTAAATGATAAGAAATATTTAGAATTAAGAGAGTTTTCTAGTCTTCTATTTAGGAATCAAAAAAACATATTCTTCTAAAGTTATGATAATTAATCACATGAGATTACCCACACAATCTATTTCTATATTTCTCAAACAGAATGTGCCTAATTTTTCTAGTTTATTGTCTGATGTTTAATCTCTCAGAGACATAAAGTAATTTGTTTAGATTTCTCAACTTTCCCATCTTCCACCCTCTTTTCTTCTATATTCCCTCCTGTTTTTGTTTTCCATACATTTCTGGGGGTCTTCATGCATTTTCATTTCTTGACCTCTAACCTTTATCTTTTCCTAAAACCATCTACTTTTTTCACTTACCCCTCTCCCATAATCCCCCTCGCTGGTATTCCCACCCAAGCAGCTATATTTATGCATCTCTCCTTCCACATCCGTTCCTCCCTCCGTCATCCTCTGTAATTACCTCTTTCGTGTAAAAACCCGGGAGGATCTGAAGGGACAGGAGACTCGTCTTGCCCCCATTTGCAACTCATTCATGTTGTTCTCGTTCTTCTGGGTTTTACCCCTTTTTTCTTCTCATCTTCTCCTCATCATTTCCATCCTTCACGTGTTCACCTCCAAACATCAGACTCTTTTTCATGAGGTTTGTGTATTTATTACCATACTGAGGAAGAGGAGGAGACATAAAATCTCAACAAGATGAGCCCAGTTTAAGGCAACAACCTAAAACATATGTAGAAAAGGCACTTTTTAAATGTGGAAATATTTCATATCTAGCAGTTGAGGATTCTGATATTATTTCCTGATCCAAGTTCTGACTTGGCTCAATGTCATCCACATCATCCCAAGTGATTTTTTATTAAGCTGGCAAAAGATCAATACCAAAGTTGTTTCTGAGGACTAATTAAGGCAGCCTATTTCAATGTATCATCTTTACCTTTAAATACCCAACAGAAGGGTAAGGATTCGCTAGATTCCCAGTATTTTTCAGGCCTTAAAGTGGATTTTTTTTGTAGCATCGGTTCATCTCTCTGTATTTAATTCCCTGACACAGCTGTCGTCCTCTGCTTACTCTCTGACATTAGATCCGTCTCTTCCGCCTATAATTTCCCAGACAGCAGACAGTTGTGCAGTGTCAGGCTTTATATCAGAGGTCTGATGCTGTGTGTGTGTGAGAGAGAGAGAGAGCCAACATTGCAGCGTCAGGACTACAGAGCTCAGCATTCTTCGCTCAGACTGTTACAGCGCTGCCTCATGTTGAGGCCCGAGTCATTAACATTCACGTCACTGTTTCTGGCTACAGGAAATAAAAACTGACCTTGACATAATGACTCAGTTCAAAGTAGCGACTCAGACGCCGTCTCACAGCGGGCAGTTGGAAACCTTCTCTCACAGGAAAAACCAGAGAGTTGAGACTGATCTACTGGGTTATATGGCACCTTCCATACATTCTGGCAACGCTGCCAGGGATGATAGCAGGGCTTTAGAATAAGCAGTAAAATCCAACCTTTAATTTTAGTACATTTGATCCATTTGTGGGAAAAAATAATCCCACATTTCATAGACTCATTTACCACAAATATCGGCGCCCCAGCTGGTGATACTTTGTAAATGGACAGAATCATCCAGCGTTTTCCTAGTCATACGGACCAGTCAAGACACTTTGAACTAGAGCCACATTCACCCCATCACACTCACAAACGCTGATGCAAGCTGGGGTTCAGTGCCTTGCCCATGGACACATCAACATGTGGTGGAAAGGTGGAATCAAACCCACAACGTTCAGATTACGAGACAACTACTCTTCCCACTGAGCCACAATTCAGTTCCACCCCCCTTTGACTAACAGAACAGTATTTACTCTTCTTAGAAATTGAAAGCAGAATTTTTTAAAGATTGTTTGGTTTCTACATTAAAAGATTAAATGATTTAAGGATTTTTCATCTTTACCAGAGGAAAACATTTTAGAGGATGCTGCATGTATTCGAAATCAGACGAAAGTGCTTCATTAAGTTTATGCATGAAACCACGATTCATAACAAAAGGTCCAGTTCAATCCTGCTCACAAAAATTCATTAAATGAATCATAGCTGGCTGATTATGTAAACAGACAATCATCAATAGTTTTTAGAATAAGACCCAAGTAATTTCCAGGATAATAATAAAGAGGAATGTTGTAACTTTATAGCTGCAACTGAAAAACATCTCAGAGTTTTAAACTCAAAGGGTTTAGTAGATATGTTCACCTGGTCTGTAGGTGTTTCAGATTAACGTCATTCAGCTCATACAAACCTCCAAACACGCAGAATAAATATCCGTCTGAAATGTCATGCAGATTCAAAGGGTTTATCCAAATTTCTTTGCATCAACAGAGATGATATTTTTTGGTTCTACTGGGTTTTCAGATGGTAGAAATCTGGCTTAAAGTGGTAAGCTTCACTGTGAGGGAAAAGCTGAACCATGTTTATGCAAAAAGAACTCAAGGGAGATTAATATCTGAACTTGGTCCGATGCTTGGAATATCTTAACTGCTTGTGCACCAGGACCCGTATTCACAAAGAATAGTAAGACTAAAGGTAGTTCCGAGTGACGTCAATTTCCTCTCAATACGATAAGCACCTTAGGCTTTATGAGAGCTTAGACATGAATTGATTGTGTTGATATGATGTCCTGGCCATTGTTCTGATAACAGTAGCATCGTACCTTCTGCTTATGTTAGTGCTGTGTGCTGCTTTTAGCTCCTCGAGGACAGAACCGTTCTGAATATTATTACATACAGTTTTGCATTGTTTTTGCCATTTTGTCGTGTTTCTGCGGGGCAAGATAATTATATCTCTGTTATCAAACTACAAAAATGTCCGAAGGGGTTAAAGCGGATGGGCTGTAAAGGGGCTCAACAGCATTTCAAGAGACGGCACCAGGTAAAAGAGGAGCCTGTGGAGCTACCATAACAAGGAGATCAGACCAAAGCATTGCAGTTCCACTTTATAGATCACTTTATAGAGACCACAACTAGATGATTCAAGGTGAAAAGGAAGGATTTAAAAGCATGATTTGTCCCTTTTAAGAAGAAGATGGTGGAAAGACAGAGAGAAAGGAGAGATATTCTCAGGACACTGAACAACAATGAATTAATAAAATGCTACCGGCTCCATGGTGCAGGGATCCACCCCCTAAACAGTCCAGTAAATGAGCACATTAACGTCTAGAACATTCATACAATTATTAATATAGAGATAAGATTAACTTTATCATCCCTCTAGGGGGAAATTAAATAGTTTAAGTGGCAAGACAGGTTAAAGGTCAACCTCTAGTCCATCAACACCTGACCTCCATCTGTACCTGAGCTCCATCAGTACCTGACCTCCATCAGTACCTGACCTCCATCAGTACCTGACCTCCATCAGTACCTGAGCACCATCAGTACCTGACCTCCATCAGTACCTGACCTCCATCAGTACCTGACCTCCATCAGTACCTGACCTCCATCAGCACATGATCTCCATCTGTACCTGAGCTCCATCAGTATCTGACCTCCATCAGTACCTGACCTCCATCAGTACCTGACCTCCATCAGCACATGATCTCCATCTGTACCTGAGCTCCATCAGTATCTGACCTCCATCAGTATCTGACCTCCATCAGTACCTGACCTCCATCAGTACCTGACCTCCATCAGTACCTGAGCTTCATCAGTACCTGACCTCCATCCGTACCTGAGCACCATCAGTATCTGACCTCCATCAGTACCTGAGCTTCATCAGTACCTGACCTCCATCCGTACCTGAGCACCATCAGTATCTGACCTCCATCAGTACCTGAGCTTCATCAGTACCTGACCTCCATCCGTACCTGACCTCCATCAGTATCTGACCTCCATCAGTACCTGATCTCCATCTGTACCTGACCTCCATCAGTACCTGATCTCCATCTGTACCTGAGCTCCATCAGTACCTGAGCTTCATCAGTACCTGACCTCCATCCGTACCTGAGCACCATCAGTATCTGACCTCCATCAGTACCTGAGCTTCATCAGTACCTGACCTCCATCCGTACCTGAGCACCATCAGTATCTGACCTCCATCAGTACCTGAGCTTCATCAGTACCTGACCTCCATCAGTACCTGAGCTTCATCAGTACCTGATCTCCATCTGTACCTGAGCTCCATCAGTACCTGACCTCCATCAGTATCTGACCTCCATCAGTACCTGAGCTTCATCAGTACCTGACCTCCATCAGTATCTGACCTCCATCAACACCTGAACCTAATCACTAAAACACCTATCAACTCTGACAGGACATGCAATAGTTTCTACAAAATCAAGCATGAGACAAAGACCTGAACAAACCTTCTGTAAAAAACATGACAAGCATCACTATACTTTTATTTTTAAAATCCAAGCTTTCCTTTGCTTCTGCTTTCATGCTGCTGTCCTTCTAGCAGCCGAGGCTTGCAAACATCCCGGATGGTTGCTCGCTAAATAATTAAGCGTTAGTGCATCGAAGTGCCTTAACACTCCACTTTACTTCACTTCACCAAGGCCCTGATGGGACTAGCTTTTTATTTTGGGCTGCAGCTTCTCCTTCACCAAGATCCTTCATCAAACCTTAATTAATGAATCTTTACAGGAAGCATGTAGACGAAGCTATTGCACACAAAAAACTGCTTTTTCCTGTTTCTCGGAGCGTCGATGCAACATGTAGGAGATAGAGAAAAACAGCAGATGCTGGATAATCGTGGTTAACATTCATGTTTGTAAAAACCCGAGTAGTGTTTTTGTTGTTTTAGCAAAGTTTCTGAACAATTAGGTCAACTTATGAATATTTCATCAGTTCTGCTGCTGTAGGCAGCTGCTAAATGAATGAAAACAAGGAAAAAGAAAACAAATATTGTCTTAAAAATCAGCAGTTTTCAAGACAGCTCTGCATACCACTTGGATTGATTTTTGCTGAAGCATCTGAGTAGTTTTCCTATGAATCTGGACCCAAATCAATACTTGTTCATTGTGTTTCTGAGTAGGACTTGCAAGGCAAATTACAGGCATTCTCAGCAGTGATCCAGAACGCGATAATGTAAATCAGCACGGCCCTGTCGCTGATTGAGTTACAGATTCAGAGAGAAGATCTGTAAATAATGTGAGAAAGAACAAGCCAAAAACGTCTCTGATAAAATCTCTGATTGTGGCTTGAAGTATTTTGGTGGTTTCACCGGAAATAAATGAAAGCTGAAATCACAAACTCATCTAAAAGGAAAATCATGTTGGGAACCAAATTTGCAAAAAAAGAAACTATGATGAAATCTATTAGTGTCACCAATCGACATTCAGCTACCTTCATTGGGAATATTCACCCATGGATAGTTGTTAACAAGTTCAGGGAAAATCTGTTGGTGCAAACAATTAATGGCCCAGAAGGCATCACCCAGTATGGATGCAGGCAGTATGAAAATGATAGAATATTTAAGGTGCTGGTACATGTAAATGATGTCATGTTGGCTTTACAGATAGGAAGCAGAGGGTACTACAGAACTTGCTGCCTTGCCTGTGGAGTGAACAACCAATGGGAGGTTAAGATTAACCAATTTGTAATGATACACATGGGTAGATTAGCCGTTAAGAGATGCGGCTTTGGAGACTGCCCTGGTTTCCACATCTTTGTATCAATCTCTAATTCTGCATGCATGGGGAAAACATGTTGTAAAGATGCTGCATGCTGGAACAGATTGAACCTCTGTTTGTTTCTGGCTGGTTTTACTTGTCTGCTCCCAGCAGCTTCAGCTCAACCCAACTCAAGCCTCCTGCGTGGCAGAAGAAGAAAGAAGTGGAGCCTGTTTGATTTAAAACGAGTTGCAAATTTATTCAGCCACTGCTGCTTCATGTGGAGCTGCTTGATGAGGAGGAAGAGGAGGGTAAGCACTCGTTACTTCTGAGAAGCCTGTTGGCAAACAAGTTATCACATCTGCACAATAATCCCAGCCCATATTCTCGTCTAAACCTGGGAATCAGTTTCAGTCTAAACACAATTCACAGCAGAATTCTAGATTTCTTCCAACCCAGAAACCAGCGACCTCCTGCTGAGAATCAACAATGCCCAAACCCCTTGTAAATGCATAACCCCACCCCAGAGAAATTTTAAAAATGCCACCAACATGGGCGGTGCCAAGAGACCCTGAGGGGCGTGGGGATGAGGGGAGGGGTTAAGTGGGGGTGTGGTCAGGACCACGAGAGAAAATGGCAGATAGCTTAATTTGACGTATTGAGACATGGAGAGTGAGCAGAGCGATGCTGGTAGCTTCGCCACGCATAGGTCTTTTGAAATGGAGGATTTTTCATGCCCCTCGTTACCGGATGTTGAGGGAGGCATTAGTGTCTCTTTAAGTATTGTAGGAAGAAATGACTTTCCTTCTTCATAAATGATGGTGTGGTTTCTCCTGTACTCCCATTTTTTTTGCTATTTGAAAGAAGGCAGACAGGAAGTGGGGTGAAGATACATGCAGCACAGGTCGCCGGGGACGGGACCTGAACCAGAGCCTCCGTATATGGGTCAGGGTCTACCAACCACTACGCCACGCGCCGCGCACGGAATACGAATTCTTTGACATTTTATTTGGACCTAATATAGGAACCAAAGGTCCAGTTAAAACCCTGGCCTAAGCAGTGAAATGCCCCTCTTTAGATTTTTATGGAAGTATGATTATCTCTGGGCTCGGTCTAGAACTTTAAAACATTTTGATGCGATGAGCTAAAGATAAAGGGTGCAATTTAAATAAAAATTAATAATTAATAATAATCATAAACTCTTCAATATTAATTAAAATATTAGTTTTTTTATA